CACTAAAGTCGAGATACAAATACCACTCTGACAAACCTTGGGGGATGGGAAGGCAATTAGCCATAACTGAGGGGCCGCAACATAAATACCAGAACCCTCTTGTTCCCCAAAAGTTTAAAACCTAAACCCTTGTTTTTTGATAGAAAAACTGCCACACCCAACCCCTCTCAAATCGACCGGTAATAGTGGAAAGAGGAGTGGATACAGAGAATGCACCGGCACTGTACATCTCACAATACTGATGGACAATACTGGCCAATCCTTTAATGGAGCCTCAGATGAATGCTGTCAGAGAATTCTACAGTAATTTGACGGAGGCCGAAGGGGATGTGGTGTATGTCAGAGGAAGAAATGTGGACATTAGTCCTGCAGCAATCAGAGCCGCCTAGAGCTTGCTGACGGTGGAAATAGATCTAGAAAAGGCACTGCAAGACTTACACAAGAACAGAAACTTAGCCGAGGTTATCCTTAATGAGCTCTACGATGATGAAGAAGGCACTCTGAGATGGGAACTGACCAAGGAGGGAACCCCATATCATTTTCCTTACAGTAACCTTTTTCTAGAGAATAAATTATGGCTCCATTTTATCTGCTCCAATATCATGCCTACAAGGTACACAACAAGGGTGACCTATGAAGTAGCACTGTTGATCTATGCCATCAAGACATCTACTCCAATTGATCTAGGCACAATTCTGAGACACCAACTAACTCGGTGCGTCACAGATGTCAAGGTTAAAAGCTGGTATTTTTGCCGGTGTTGGTAACAATGCTAATGGCAAGTTAGGATTGCCATTTATTCCAGAAAATATACAGTTGAGCATTCCAGCTCTCTGAAGTTACAAAACACTAGCAAGGGAGCCACCTGAGAAACTATATAAGGAGCCAGCACCAGTGCCAAACTGCAGAAGGAGAGACTTTTCAAAGCAGCAATCCTATATGCTCAATTACATTCATCAAGGATTCTAGAGTTTTGAAAAGAAGCTCAAGCACATTCATGATAAGCTAGAATGTTCCAGCTCTTTCACAAAAATGGATGATAGCCCATGTCATCCCTTTCAAAGGATGAACCCACGATTACCCAGGGGAGTACTCTGTTTTCTTTTTCTTTTTCTTTCCTTTTATTTTTCATTTTTAATTTTTCTCTTTTGTTGTGTTTGTTTGTGTGTCTTAGAGTCTTTAGGATAGATAGAGTCCACTTTGTGTGATGATTTTTCTATTTTCAGTTGAATTGCATGCTAAGTGTTTGTGTTTGTTCTTTCCCTGTTTCCTTTGTTTGTAAGCATTAAGGACAATTCTTATTTTAAGTTGGTGGAGGGATTAGTCTAAATTCGTATGTTATGTTTTGACAGGATCAAATTTTGAATTTTTTTTTTAAAGTTTGTGTGGCTGTGAATATGTTTGTGTATATACAGTTTGTCTGCAACTGCTGTCTAGTTGCTGGTGTAGTAGCTGTTGTTGCTGTCAATCAAGAAGGAGCCACGAGCTGAAATCTTGGTACTCAATGAAGGAAATTGCTTTGCCATTACTGCAAGTTGTTGGTGCTGCAAGTAGAAGAACAGAAAGAGGGAGAATATGTGAAGAACATCAGCTGCAACTTTGTTACTTACCAACTGGTGCTGCTACTGAAGTGATGAATTGGCTATTGTAGAAGGGTGAAGAATGGTGTAGCAAGTGACCAAGGAGACAAAGAAGAAAAGGGCAGAAGATTGAGGCTAATTTGGGGGCTGGAAACACAATGATTGAAGGAAGCATGCTGCTGATGAACCTGCTTGCTGATTACTGCAAATTGAGCTAAGAGGATTAAAGAATGAAGAAATAAAGATTTGTGGCTGAAATGGTGAGAATGCGCCGGAGAAGAAAACTCAGGAGAAGAAGCATTGACGACCAGAAGGTGCCTAATTGCGACTAAAGAAGGAAAGAGCTGACTAGAGAAGATAACAACTTGCCAATTGGGCAAGTTGCCGAATAAACAAATAACTTCAGCTGCCGCAACTTGCTGTCCCCTCCAATCTGCTTCAAGGAAGGCCATAAATCCACCAATCCAAACTTCTTCAAATCTCTATAAATAGCTAGCCAATAGCAATAGTTAAATAGAACAGATTAGGTAGTTAGAATCAGTTACAAAGTCAGTAGTTAGGTAGTTAGTTAGTTGGTTAGAAATAGGGTAGTAGCAGGAACAAGAGTGCAGACTATCATTCTGTCAAGTGGCCAACACAACTCGCCAAATTGCGCAGACGTTAACTGTCCCGGCTACCATCTTTCCCTTCTATCCTCTAAATTTTTGATCTTGAATTATGTCTTATCTTTTCCACTTTGTTGCTCTCATGTTTAACTCAATAAGCATGAGTAGCTAACTCAGCTGAGGGTTCAATTCCTACTATTTTTATGTGAACATTTTGATTCAGTTTTCCTTAATGAGGCATTGTTTCTAGTTTAAGTGCTTTCATTAACCTTTTGATTAAACTGGCCACTTAATTAAATGTGCATGCATGTTATGGAGATCTGAGAGAGCAAACATAGCTAGAACGTCTTAAATTAGTCTATGACAAAGGAGGAAATGTACCCTTTGGTTTCAATCATCAACGAGAGTTAGGTGATTGTCATAGGTGATCAATAGGGTTTAAGAACTCAATGGCCTAGATTAATCTCAATAATCTGACTGAGAGGTAGGTAATTTAGTAATCTAGGACTCTTTACTCTATCTGAGAGAAATTGTAAAGAATAAATGTGTCTGGTCAAACAATAAATCATACACTACAGCATTACTTGAATCAAAACTGGATTATAAAGATAGGAAGGTGATTGACCCTTCTGCCTCTTCACTGTCAAGTGACTATTCTCACTCTCTCAAGTGACAAATCTGTTCAACTCTTTTACTTTCCTTTTCTTGCACTTTAATTAGAGTTTAAGTGGTTGACTACCATCTCTGTGGAACGACCCTACTTAACACTAGCTAATAGTTTAAAGTAGGTTTTATAATTAACCCAAAAAGTACCATAACTTCGCCTGTTATATTCGTTCGCCACCATAAGTTCAAAAATAACTTAAGATCCAAAATGACAAAATTGCCCCTTCTAGAAAGGCACGTGAAAGCCAGCCTTCAGTTACTTTTTGGACGGTGAACGGACGGAAAAGTGTAAGAAGACAGAAACTCAACTTTTGATGGGACTTAAGTTATTTTTAAACTTATGGTGGCGAACAAATATAGCAGGCGAAGTTATGGTACTTTTTGGGTTAATTAGTGTTAGATTTTAAGTGGTTGACTGCCATCTCTGTGGAACGACCTACTTAACACTAGCTAATAATTTAAAGTAGGTTTTATAAATATTCTCTTGAGGGTGAAATCAACGACAATTTCAACTCACCAATCTCCAAAATGAAACTATTATGGATGACTCTTCTGTAGCAATATGTAGCAAATATGTAGCAGCAGTAGAGGAAGGCGGCTGCTCAAACTTTTTGTTTCCCGCTCTTTTTTCCGGTTAGATTTTTATTTTTTGAACTATCCTTTTATATTTTGTATTAGTTTCCATATTTTTAAAAATAGAGTAGCGGATGTCATTAATATTCACGTTTTCAGTAACTATTAAATTAGGGTTAACTGATTTTCTACAAATTTTAATGGAAAAAGGTTAATTTTAATTCGTTGAATTCAAATTCTCAATAATTATTTTTGACAAAATTGAAATTAGAACGGAGAAAAAGAAAAAGGAAATGATAATGAAAGGCACACAAAAACAGAATAGATGAGGATGGGAATGGGAAGGGTAGATCGGAGAGCGGAAGGGCCGCCCTACCCATAGTCACACACTACAACACGGTCTTGACTTAACCCCCAACTCATCCCCTTCTTCTTTGGCTACGTGGGACCCGGAACCGATTCCTCTCTTCATCATACAGCTCATAGTCTTTTGTGTCTCCTTTTGCATGTCTCGTTGGCGCCCTTCTCACCTCACCATGCCTATTTTTTTTAAAAAGTTTTCCCATCTCAAAACCTCACTAGTTTTTGGGCTTCGAAAAAAAATATTGTCACTTTGTACCGCATTTTGATTTTCTCTCAATGTTTGCGTATTCGTTAAGATAATGTATATTACGAAATTATATTCTATCGGTTTTAAAATGATTATCGAGTTATTAATTTATTGTAGTCATTTTTTGTTTAAAACAATGGCGTGAACAAGTAAAATAATAATCATTTATGTAGTAATATGATGCTATGGATACATAACAAATGAAATAATCTAAACAATTAATACATGTTGAATTATTGAGGTGAGTGATTCGAAGATCCCCTAATCATGGGATCTTCTTGGTCTAAAATTACTGGATTAAATTGGTAATAATTTGCACAATTCTGGGATCGGCTAAAACTTTTCTTTTTTAGGAAAAACAATGAAGAACCTTTGAGTTCATGGTGTCTAAATATAGGAATAATGTCTACGATGTGATAACTGTGAAGGTGTACATTTAATCATATTAGCTGTAAATTCCCAGGTCAATATTCTCTTCTTAAACTTGAAGCCGCGTAAACAAGGACGTATACGGTTCCAAAGTCACGCAAGCTCATCAACTTTAGCACACATTTAACACAAGATGATAATACTATTATTTTTATTGTTTTCACCATTAACCTCTATTGTATCTGTGACGGAGATTCTAAAAATTAGTAAGTTTTAATCTTTTTGTATGATTAAAAGTCCTAATTTATTGAAAAGAACGATTATGAAATTGAATTTTTAATGAGAAAAGACACCGAGTTTGAGTCACGTGAATAGAAAAACTAATGTCAAAAAGCTCGTTTACTGGTTTATTCACCGAGATCAATTAGTAATGAATTAGTTTCGTTACAAGATGTGTTTGTTTTTCTTTTTCTTTTTTTTTTTTAAAAAAAGAGTACCTAAACTACTCTCTAGTTACTTTTTTTTTTGGGTAAAATAATGGAGGCAATAGCCTATACTCTCTAGTTACTAATACACCTAACTATTTTTTCCCAAATTATTCAGGAAAGGAAAATTTAAGGAAAAATAATACACAACTCATGACATCCAAAACAGCCGCCTGCCAACTCTCTTTCTATGGTTTCCTCTATCTCGGGTGTAAGGTTGCTATTAATACCCTCATCCTTTTCTTTCTCGGTTTTCTCCTCCTATTTCATATACTCCATCCACAACTACTATATATATCATCTCCATATCCACAACTTTTTACATGACAGAAACACAAACCAAAAATCCACCTCTTCAACAACTAGCTCTTTTTTTGTACTTCTGAATTTATTGTGATTGTACCAATATTATAGCTGTAATAATATTGTTGCAATTATGACCTTTCTTCAGAAAAACACCCACTCCAATTTCTATCCCTTTCCAAACAACAGTACCAATATTAATAAAACAGTAGACCAAATTTCCACCATAAAATCAATCCTGTTTTCCCCTGTTCCTCCTTTGCATCAATTTACAGATACTATGACGAAAAGGGATCCCGGCGGGATCGGTTTTATTGACGATGTCGGCGGGAGTGTTAATGGGTTGATGTCGTGTACGGAGAGTTTAGGATTTGAGAGCTCCGATGAGAGGCGGGTTGACGACGAGATTGGGATCCTGGATCTGAATTACGAGAAGGAGTTTTTGAGTAATTGTAGTTCTGGGAATTTGAGATTGAAACGGGAGCATGTGAAGAGGGAGGTGAAGAATTTCCCACCGCCATTGTCGTCGTTGGATCAGAACGGTAAGCCGACTTTCTTTCTCCGGCCGGTGAGGAGGGATGGTAAGTTGGAGCTTCAGGAGGTGAAGATTAACCGGCCGGAAGTTTTGTGTGCTTCTAGGGAAGATGGGAGGCTGAGATTGCATTTCGTTAGTAACGAGGATGAACAATTTGATGATCAAGAGGAGGAGGAATTCGAGGAGGAAGAAGTAATTGTGGGAGAAAGTGATGAAGAAGAAGAAGAAGAAACAATTGAGGAAGATGGATACATTGAGGATGAAGAGGCGGAATTAGTAGAAGAAAGGGCTGAGGGATGGCGGATTCCGGTGAATCAGCACGGTGATGGCGGTAGCGACGGCGGTTTCCTACGGTGCCATGAGATGGTGAGCCACCATCAGATCCGCCGCCACCAACACCACCACCACCACGGTCACCACCATCATGACATGCATGTTTGGAGTAGGCATTGTGTGACAATCAGATGAATTTTGTAAAGATGAGTCTATTTTTCCAACATGATTGATTCCTTATAAGTTTAGTAGTACAAGAATTTGACGTGGGAATCAAAGGAAGGCAATTAATTAGTTCGATTTGAGACAAGGTGAACATTTATTATACTCGGCTGGATTGTTGACATCTGAAGCGCAGAAGAATTTGGTGTGAAAAGTTCAACATATGATTATGGTCAAATAGACCATATTTGTACCATAGTTGTGAATGGGAAATTAGATTTGTTTTTGAACGAGATTCTTATTGGAATGTTATTCAATCTAAGCTTAGATTCAACCAGCTAACATATTGATTAGAGTATTATTACTGCATTTAATCATTACGGTCATTTATTTAAGAAAGTACAACAGTTGGAACAGCGACTCCGGATACTGGTGTGTAATGTTACCTCAAAAAACGTCAATCAAATTAAAAAATGGAAACTTGCTAAATTCAAACTACACTTAGTTCAAAATGAAACACCGAAGGTACTTCCTCCATTCCAAAATAAGTATTGTTTTAGCAAAATAGAGAAATTCCAAAATAAGTGTCGTTCTCATATTTCAATGCATTTTTTGTCAAAAGTTTCCAAAATTACCCTTAAAAGAGTTAATATTATTGGTGGACAATTTTATAATGGGGTTGGTTGAGGATATTCAAGTAATTTTATTACCATATTTAAGAGTTTCTTAAACTATGTGCAAAGTGTAGGACGACACTTATTTTGGAATATAGGGAGTACACTGCACTACACAGTTTCGGGAAATCATACTTCATTAAATAATAAAAATAATACACCTTTTGTTTTAAATTATTGTCTTGTTTGGATTTTTATTTTCTGTATAACTTCAACTAAAAGTGAAAATCTGAACTATACAATAATTTTGGAATAAATTAATACCTTATCTGACTTCGTCTATATAGTAGTTTGGGTCGGGATTGCCAATTCTCTTTCCTCGCCTTTAAGGAAAAATGGAAAGAATGCTCGTCAGCTACCATATTAGTGCTACAATGAAAAAAACAAAAACTCTTTCTATCTCAAAATTATAAGATTGGAAGAATAATTGCACTAAAAGGCATTGGGTAAAAATGAGGGCCTATATTTTTTTGATATTGCCCCAAATTGTATATCTTTAATCTTAGAACATGATAACGTAGGTTTATGTATGCCTTTTGATCAAGGCCGCTAGCCTTAAGCAGTAATATAATATAGTTTGCTTTTCGACCAAAAAAAATAAAAAGGTCTTTGCTATTCTTATTTCTTACTGGTGGATAGATGAGGAATGGGAATGATAACATCATGAAAATAGTTCCTTGCTCATCTTTCAGGACTCTGTCTGCCTGTCAATAGTGTGTACTGTGTGGTCAGAAATAGAGAGCTCAGGAGAATCAGGCAGAGTTGTAGGTTTCCAAGAAAAGATTGCAGTCGGCATTGATTGCTAAAAGTTATCCTGAAAAGCTGTCTCTGAAATTCTTATTAATTTATCTATATATAGAAAGGTTTCAGTTACGGCTCGGAATAGTATGCCTACTATACACCTTCAAGTTGAAATCCTTGCCCTTTCATTTTCAACTTTTTAGACTGTATTTGTATCTGGTCTGAAATCATTGTATGGATTAATTCGAATTTGAATGGAAAACATTTGAATTGAAATTTAAGATTTTCTTATAATACTTTGATTATGATTACTTGTGCATATCAAGAGATTTGAACCAGATCAAGTGCTTGACCTTTCATTTTCGTTTAATTTGTCTGCTACATCTGTACTATATCATCACCAGCTCCAAGATTCTACTGCACGTATACTTGGAGTCGGTCCAATCAACTCAACCATCAATGATTGAAAGCTAAAGTGAAAAGTGAAAAAATAGCATTAGTCAAAAATAATTCCCTTCTCTCTCTTTTTTTTTTTTTTTTTCCGTTTATGGCACGTATCATTTTGTACCCTTATATTACTCATACATATTGAGCAATATTTAAATACTACTATAATATGATACTAGTACAGTTGTAATTCAAAAGATATAGAAAATTGATTGTGTGTGTTGTGAGGTGCCAACGGTCCACATCCATGGAAATCGATATGATTTAGAGCAATTATTGAAAGAAGTCAATCGGAAAAAAATGAATGATTAGCTATTCAAAATTGACTTACCCGGCATATCATTGTGCCTCGTGACGTGTGATCTATTCGTGAAAGTTTTCACTTTTCAATTGACATATTTGAAATGGTTCAATTCACATCCGGATTGTGAATGGGTCTAAACTCTAAATTTGAAAATGTGAGAATACAATTTATAATTTCGACTGCAATATAACAATGCGCGAATAAGTTTTGACCCGGTCCTGACACACTGACAAGAAATAATAAATTTACGAGATTTTTAATATATTTAGTAAGCAAATAGAGTTAGGGCTTACTTGTTTAATATTCAAGTCGCATTAGAGTCAAACATCTAAGAATTCAAGTGACGTGTTCGACTTTGACCTTGTAATCAATAATTTGAACTTATAATTTCAACTTAACTACATAACATACTCCGTTCATCTAAAAAAATTAGTCCACATTTATCCATATTTGCTTTTGCGCCATAACAATCTCACTCTCTTAGTATTAACATCCTTGTTCCTTTCTTTTGAAGTGCATGATTCGACAGAGACATCCAAATTTAATTATTTTTATCTCCACGTATGTAGTAAGCTGAAGTTTCTTATCTTTAACATCTTCTAAAATTTGATATAAAGAAAAACGGAAAAAAAGAGAAGAAAATAACCATTCGCGCGTAGTGCGAGTGATTGTCCGTATATTTGTTCTCCAAAATAAACAGAAATCAATTTTGACTAAAGACAACAAATTCATTTTAGACTACTTGTGGATTCCAAATTAGTAAATCAAAAAAAAGAAAAAATAAAAACGAAAAACAAAAGAAAGTAAAGCGAGAACTAGTGCTTGCTCATTCCCAACAGAAATTCCTATAATTTATTTTACTCTTTAGCAGAATCTTTAAGTGGGATCTTCCGTTCACATTTTTTTTTTTTTTTCACCAAGGACGTTTTATAAAAAATTTTTTACGCCATTTATATTGACAAGAGTTCATCGAACAAATATAATTCATTGTGATAAATGAAGTGGATTTATTTATTTCCATCCTATACATACAGGTTTGTTTGCTTTTTTTTTTACCTCTTCAAACCTCGGTTCCACAATTTGTAAATTTGTTACGACTTCATAAAGAATGAATTAGTCCTTCCCAAATTGTACAAGTTTCTTACAAAGTATACGATTTTTTGGATGTAAATGATATCTGTACAGATAGATCCTATATCGTACTACGAGGAATATCGAAAATTCGAGTGGTTAAAGTTGAATCAGCTACTTTCTGGCATTTGCATAGCTACGAATACAATGAAAACACACAACAACATTCCAATTTCTTAGAAGCGTGTGTTAAAATTAATAAATCCTACAACTTTCGATGAATAGCTATACTAATTATAGAAAACGGGGGATGCGATTGTACTTGTCTATTTGTCTAGCTATCTGCTACTGTTTCTTCAGCCGGAATCTTGAGGGGTCTGTTATAGATATCAAGTAAACAAGCAGAACGTACTCTACTGGATAAAGATGGCAAGGATGAGCAGGTTCAGGTCAAAATGGAAGGCGGTGGAAGAACAATATTATCTCGACTCTGGGACACGTCAGAGGCAATTGCGAATTCGTATCGGAAAAGATGCTCCTAGTGTATTAAATTTGTATTTTCATTTTTATTTCAATTTATACATAAAAAAAAAATTTAACTACACAATCTTGGCAAAAAGGGAGTATGGGAAAAATAAATCTTGGAATTAAACTGAGTTCCTAAATGCATTCTGTCCTTGCAAAAAGAAAAAACAGGGAAAATTGTGGACATTGTTTCACAGAACCTAAGACATGCCAACACGCAGAAAAACATCAACAAAAGCAACAACTAAAGAAATATTAATAAGAAAATAAAATTATTACTCTATCTGTCCTAATAAAAGATTTCATCATTCCATTGTTTAGTTTAACAAGTGGGATATTTTTTCTGAGTAGAGCGTACTAAATAAATCATAGCATCCAATTATCATATCGACCCAAAAAGAAAAAAACAAGATGCCGAAACAAAAAAGAGTTTACTAGCAATTTGTAATAAATTTGAATCATGAAATATTATTTAATTAAAAATTTAAAAGAAATTATTCTACGGTAACTCGATTTTCAATGAGAAAGGGTGAGAACAATCCACGGTAACTTTATAAAATGTCATTGCTAGAATTCTATATGTGGCGTAGAGACTAAGATGTTCTTTAGAATTTTAATTCTTTGATTATTATTGATTAACCAAATTTATTCATCATTTTAGTAGGAATTTAGGTAATTAGTACTTGTTTGGATAACATTTTGTTTTACTTTTTTTTTTTAATTTGGGTTTGGGAGGAGATTTAAAATGTAGTTTAGTTTTTTATTTGAAAAAGTATTATAGTATAGTGACCATATATGAAATTAAAATAGTTTAATGACCAAAATGAAGACTTTACAATAGTTCAACGACCAAATGCAAGACTTTACAATAGTTCAGTGACCAAACACAATAAAGACTTACAATATTTCAGTGATCAAAATTAAGACTTTACAATAGTGTAATGACCAAACGCAATATTTTAAAAGGTAAATTAAAATGTTGTTTGGATAGTGCATTGATTTTTGTGTTTAAGAGGTAAAATGAGAAAAAAGTAAAATAAGAGTTTGGACAAACAAGGCCTTTAACATATTGAAATTTTAGTAATGATTAGTACCATATGCAATTGAGAAAATAATGATAAAGTAGTACGAGACTAATTAATAGCGACATGTTTTCAATTTAGGGGCACTTTGGGAAGCCCAACAGTTCTTAAAATATTGGGACTAAAACCAAACACTTTAACATTCTAGGACTAATATACTGGATTGTCTCAAACATTGGGATTCTTCAGCGGCAATTAGTTACCTTCTGCTCATCATTGATTCTTCTCCTTAGTCTTCTTCTCCGGCGCATTCTCACCAGTTGTAGCCACAAATCTCTATTTCTTCATTCTTTATCCTCTTAGCTCAATTTGCAGTAGTCAGCAAGCAACAACATTAGCAGCATGCTTCCTTCCATCATTGTGTTTCCAGCCCCCAATTCATCCTCAATCTTCTGCCATTTTCTTCCTTGTTTCCTGGGTCACATGCTACACCATTGCTCACCCTTCTGCAGCAGCCAATCCATTACTTCAGCAGCAGCACCGGCTGGTAAGTAGCAGAGTTGCAGTTGCTGTTCTTCACATATTCTCCCTCTTTCTCTTCTTCCACTTCCAACAGCAACAACTTACAATGATGGCAAAGAAATTTCCTTCCTTTGGCACCAACATTTCAGTTCATGGCTCCTTCTTGATTGACAGCAACAACAGCTACTGTAGAAGCACCTAGACAGCAGAACAGCTACCCTTCTTCTCCTCAATTGAGTGTGCTGCTGCAGATTCTTCCAGTTGTGATCATCTACTGCCATTCTTCCTTCCTCAGCAAAGATCTCTCCACTTGGTCCAGCTCTGATTGATCCTCCAGCAGCCTGATTACCTGTAGCTTCCATTTCAGTCCAGAATGATAGTCTTTTGTGCAATTTGGCCCTCATTTATGCTGATTTTCCACATTGACCCCTTGATTACCCTGAAATACAAAATCAACCCAAAAGTAAACTAATTCTAATTAATTGACACCTAATTCTAAGTAAAAGTAAGTAGAATATGCCTGCTAAAAGTGTATATATTTTACTGTCATCAGAGATTAAACTCTTTTCCGGTAAGCAACTAGCGGAGAATAAGGTCTTCGTCTGGTGGTTAGGTTTTAAGAGAATTTCCTAGAGGTTCAGATATCCATTCCCATCTAGTTATGTAAGGAGGGTTTTTCTATATTTATGTAGCTTTATTGGGATGATTTTTTTTTGAAAAAAAAAAGAATAAAAATATTGCTAGCTCAGCCAAATTAATGCCTTGAATACTTTGACTTTTCCCAAAGACAGAAGCAAAGGTACTTATTACCTCTCCAAACCCCACGAGATCCACACACTTATTGATGTACCAAATACTCATGTGAAAAGTTAACTCCTGGGTCCGGAACCTGGGGGTTACTATGAAAATCCTTATTTCTCATCCACTTAGGGGGGTCTGGGCACTTGATCGTATCATGATCAATTTTATATAGTTTTTTAGTTTAAGAAGATTTTTTCTCCTTCATTCTAGGATACTTGATCTTGTACTTGTACATTAATGTAAAAAACATATCTTAATCTTTTTATGATGATCTCTCCAAACAAGGTCAAGCATCATTAATAAAATAAAAAACATGTTTTCGAGCATCAAGCAGCGCAATTCTAATCTATTTGAGTAAGCTCGTGTGGTTAACAAAGTGACAGAGAAAGTCCTAGTCGACCAGCTGCCCAACTCAAAAGAAAAAAGAGAACGAAAGAGAAAACTTCACTTTCTCAAGTCAGTATTCACATGCTTACAATTGGATACGATTGCATTCGATGCAAACAGGTAATGGTGAAAAGTAGGAATGAAGCAAAATAACCAGAAAACATGTTTGTAAGCGAAATAAGTATTCGTCTGCTTAGAAACATGTTTTGTAGCATCAAGCAGCTCAACCCGATTATACTTGACTACCTGTTGTTAACATAATGACATACAAGTCCCAGCCAACTGGCCCAACCCAATAGAAAAAAGAGAGCAAAAAGAAAAACTTCACCTTTTCAAATAAGTATTCATTCGCTTACAAACTTTCGGGTACAGTTGTATTCATGGATCCTCCAGTTGGTTTTATGTCGAAAAGCCAATTAATACATGGATTGGTTTATATTTATTGTCAACATGTTTTAGGAACCTAAAGGGTCACACACAATAGGACAATCACTTGGGATAATTAAGGGATTAATTTATGTGATAAATTAATCATAAGGACTTATTAATAAATAACTCATGGGTTTTATGGTAATTATCCATACCCATAGACTTATATAAATAAGTCACAGACACAAATTCTGGATTTAATCTGTCGGTTCCATAAACCCTAGTTTGTAATCCAGGAACTGGCCGTTACGCCTTGTGTCTGTGTCCCAACAATTATTCGTGTGGATAGCGTTAAAGGCTGGATATTTGAACAGCTTTGTGATCAAACTTCACCATGTGTTGATCATGATTGCTGGATTAGCTGTTAAAGGTACACAATTGTAAACTATTTATATTATTCATAGATTACAAAGTGATCTTGGCATGAAATCAGTCTGTGTTTATTCCGCTACAATAGGATTGATTTACTTACAGTGGTATCAGAGACACTCTTTGAATCTATGTTTAATATTTGTGATATTGAGTTTCATGGATGGTGATACACGAAATTTGAGAAGTATAAGCTTATGGAGAAGTATTATTTGAATAGTTCAAATCGGTGTATCGAAATTTGATTTTGGGAAGAAATTTAAATCGATGATGAGGCTGGCTAGTCAGAAGAGTTCTGGCCGACTGAACTGGTTCAGGTATTAGGCCGAGCCAAAGCCTTGACTGGTGGATTGGGCATAAACAAATCTGCTCGAACAAAACCTGCTGGACACTGCCGGAATAGTTTGAAACTAGGAACGACGGACTGGATCTAGTGATTCCGTTCATTGATGGCGGAGAAAACGAAGGCCAGAAAAGTTCTTGCAAGATCCGAGCTGCATTCAAGGGATTTGGCGGAGCGATTTGATGCTCAAAGTCCTGTAGTCGACGTGGATTTGGCGATGGCAGCGGCAATCAGATTTTTGTCCGACGCCGATGAGGAAAGGTCTAGCAATATTGACCAGATCTGAGTTCCGAAAGAAATCGGCGTGCGATGCCGATGGATAATAGCCTCTGTCGTCGACGAAAACATGAAGAGTTCATGTATTGGTGACGACGGCGGCGCGCAGATCGGCTTCGCGACCGAAGACCAGAGGTTGAAAACGATGACGTCATAAGGTGACATCATCACCGCGGCGGCCGGGTAAATTAAACCCTAATAGCAATTTTACATTTATTACTTAAATGGTCCCTGGAAAATTTTTCTTGTTATTACGTTTTCTACGACTAAACTGTATAAATGGTCCCCTACATTTGTCCGAATTTAAATTTGGTCCCCTAATCAACATGTATATGGATTGAGCCTTTACATTTCATTTTGAAACTTTTTTGGTCTCTTTTCACTGTTCTGTCACCATTTCCGTCTTGATGACCGTTGATCCTGCCAAGTCAGGGATATTTTCGAAATGACACATATAAGATCAAAATAACAAATGTTTTTATAATAAAATAAAATAAAATATTAAAAATTATTATTTTATAATAAAAAATTAAATAATTTAAAAATAAAAAAATTAAAATGATTTCAAATTTCAAATTTCAAATTTTTTTCACTTCCCACCTTTGTGGGTCCCACAAGCCAGTCAATTTCCTCATTTTTTTTACTATAGTAAAAAAATCAAAATTAAAAAGTAAACTTACCTTCACTCGCCTTTTACCTTTACCCTTAAAATTTTATTTTCATAATCCAAAATACCATTTATTAATTTTATTCTTACCAAGTAATTGCTGGTAAAGGTAAATCGGCCACCGGATGGAGGTGGTCTGATACTCCCTTCTTTCGCCCAGATTTTGAATGGATCGAAAACTAATCCAAGGCATATCATCAACCCCACCGGAACTCAGGCTGCAACCGCGTCAATCACATCAAAACCCTCAGTGTACAAGGGCGAGCTAACGTTCCTAATGTCGATAGATGAAGATGAAGCCCTAGCGGCTCCCTTCAAACGCTCGCTGGTAGGAAAATTTTTAAAAGGACGGCCGAAAATGGATTTCTTGCGGCAACTATTTCAGAGGATCGGCTTTAAAGGTAGCTACTCCCTAGGTATGATAGATCATTGTCACAACCACATACCCTTTCACCTTGAAGAAGATTATCATCGGTGTTGGATTAAGGGCATTTGGACATTTGATCATTATATGATGCGTGTATTAAAGTGGACTCACCAATTCAATACAGAGCAAGAATCATCCATTGTTCCAGTCTGGATCGCATTTGAAGGCTTGCTGATTCACCGATTCAACGTTGAATATTTAGGTAAACTGGCATCTATTGTTGGCACTCCTCTAAAAATTGATGTTCCAACTTTGAATCTATCGTGCCCATCGATTGCTAGGGTATGTGGGGAGATAAATCTTTTGCATGAACTACCTAAAACAGTGCTTTTAGCAATGGAAGAATTCTCCTATTATCAGGAGATTATGCATGAGAATAAGTCGGAGAATTGTTCGATTTGTAAAAAGGTAGGTCATGGTGTAAAGGATTGCCTCGGGGTAAAGCAAAGGCCCCTTTTCCGACTGTTGCAAAGGAATCGATGAAGGAAAAAGAAACTGTAAAATTTAAGGATCCGGCTACTCAAAATATTTGGAAGTCAAAGGCACTAGAAAAGACTGAAAAAGGAGCTGGGCATGGAATGGAATCAAAGGCATCTTCATCTGGACTATCGATCAAGGAAAAACAGGCTACTCCGATTGATTTAGTGGATCAAAGTCCCTCCAATCCGTCCTCTGAAAAATGGAGAATTACCAAGGAAAAACATGCAACAATTATGAAGAATAGCAAAGAAGAAGGTAAGCCGGACTCTTGGGATACGCCGGATCAAAATAAGAAGCTGACAGAAAGCGAAAACAATCATCAACAACGAGTTGTCTGTAAACAGCTCGCTGTTTTTGTTCCACAGATTGATTTAAAATCTCGATTCGCTGTCTTAGATGATCTGAATGATGATAACAGTGAAGCGATTCGGGAAATGAATAATATTAATATCAAGGAGACGGATAAAGAGGGTCAAGTTGATGGGGTTGTGGTGTCTGAAGAAGAATCTGATTCGGATGTGGAGGCGGATAACACTGGAATAGATTTGCGGTTGATTGTGGATGGTGAATGAGCTAAAGATGATATAGTGGTTGGTTGTGATTCTAATTTGGATGAATATGAAAATGCCCGACTTGTACTCTCTGATGAGGATGGACAGAAAAAATCAAAAATTGGAAGACCAAAGGGTTCAACGAAAAAGAAGCAAGTGCAACCGAAGGAAACTCGTAAATCTAAGAGATTCAATGGCACCTCATCTCAAAAGGTTTCTGATAAATAGTCAACTAATATGGGAGCAAGGCTTCTCGACGACGCTTAAGAAATTTGGTCAGACAACATTCAATTTCTTTAGTTTTCTATTAGAACCAATGTTAGCAGAATCAGGTATTGAGGAATTGAAACAACAACTTCGGTTTAAGGACGCTTATACTTCGGCTAATGGGAAAATTTGGTTTCTTAGTTCATTAGTTTGGTGGACTAAATTGATAGAAGAATCTGAGCAAGCTCTTCATCTGGAAATTGAAAATCAGAGGATAGGGAAACCGGTTTTGATGTCGGCAATTTATGCAAGGTCTTGAAGGCAGAAAAGACAGGGCTTATGGGTTGAATTACAAGCTTTTAGTGATAGAAATCCTGGAACTCCATGGATGATCGGAGGAGATTTCAACGTAATAAGGAGTGTGGATGAATATAAAGGAAGTTCCCAACCGGATAGAGGTGGTATGGAAGATTTTAATGCTTGGATTAACAGCTGCAATTTAACAGATTTTGCTCCTCTCGGCAGTATCTATACTTGATCGTATTCTTCTTAATCAGGATTGGATTAATCTATTCCAGGCTTCATTGTTGCATCATCTCAATCGAACCATGTCTGATAATGCCCCCCTTCTTTATCAATTTCAGTCTGACGCCGAAACCAGACCAAGCATTTTTCGATTTCAGAAAATGTGGATGCGGCGGGACGATATTCTCGATATGGTTAAGGAAAACTAGGAGCAACCACTTCTTATGTATGGTATTTCAAAATTTTCAATGAAATTGAGAAGATTGAAAGCACGATTGAAAGTTTGGAACAAGACTGTTTTTGGGACGTTTTCCAGAATCTCAAGAATGACGAAAATGATGTACAAATCAAAGAAGAGATTTATGATCAAACTGGTGCTGCGGCTGATAGAATGACGCTTCATCAATCTCAAGCCCACCTTTTGTTAAAATTAAGAGAGCATGATGATTTTTTTTCAACAAAAATCAAGGCAAAAATGGCTTCGTGAAGGGGATAATAATTCAACATCTTTCCATGCATCTTTAACTGAAAGAAAGGTCCGGCTTGGAGTTCATAAAATTAGGGGCATTTGGGATCTTGGTTGATGCGGCGAGATGAAATTGAAGAGGAAGCTATTTTCTTCTTCAAGGAACTGTTAACTGTTGAGGAGGTAGATGATCATGAGGAAGCAAGTAATAGACTCTTGATGCATATTCCGACTATTGTTAATGTAGAGCACAACAACTCTCTTCTCAGTCCGGTCACAGTTGATGAACTCAAAGAGGTTGTTTTCAGCCTTGATCCTTCAAGCGCTCCTGAGGTTGATGGTTTCGGAGGGGACTTCTATCGACAATGCTGGAATATAATAAGTCAGGATCTCATGGAGGCTTGTCTGGAATTTATGCATGGCGTTCCATTGTTGAAAGCAATTGGTTGTACCATTATCACACTGATTCCAAAAAAAGCTACTGCCACATCCCTTGTAGATTTTCGTCCAATCAGCTTATGTAATTTTCTCAATAAAATGTTCACAAAGCTGTTAACGGAACGTTTAAAGAAGGTTCTCCCTTGTTTGATTCAGAAGAGCAATATCTTTTTTTGGAGAGACGAGACATAGTTGACAATATCCTCATGACGATAGATCTCCTTCAATTCATGGATCATCCAGGTCTAGGTGGCAATCTTATTTTGAAGCTTGATATGATGAAGGCATTTGATCGGGTCTCTTGGAGCTTCTTGGGACTTATTGTGTTGAAGTTTAGCTTTCATGAGCATTTTGTGAACTTGGTCATATCTAACTTAGAACAAAGTTGGTTCTCTATTCTCTTGAACGGAAGTCCAGTAGGGTTTTTTTAGTCATCCAGAGGAATCAAGCAAGGCGATCCTCTTTCGCCTTATTTATTTATCTTGTTATCGGAGGCACTTACTAGGAATTTAAAAAGGCTTGCAGAGGAAGGAAAGATCGCACTATATGGGGCGCCAGCTGGAGCGAAAATACTGTCTCATTTATATTTTGCTGATTAGTCATTATTTTTACTAAAGAGTTAAAGCTTTCTATGTAGCATTTGACTTCTTTTTTGCAGGATTATGAAGCAGCCACCGGACAATGAATAAATAAGCAGAAGAGTTGTTTTTACATTCCGGAAAATAGTTCATCAGAACATGTGCAGTTGGTGTCTCAATCGCTTCAAGTGCCGTATTTGGGTTGCAAGCTTTTCAAAGGGAGGAAAAAGAATGAGTATTTCAGCCATCTATTGGATGCTTTTGACGCAAGCTGTTAAACTGGAAGAATAACTTTTTGTCGCAAGGGGGGAAGTTGATTTTACTTTGACATGTGCTCTCAGCATTACCAATTCATAGCCCTAGAACGTAAATGCCAAAGCTTCCTATGGGGTGAGAATGAAGAAGGCAACAAGAAGCATTAGCGTGCTTGGCGCCATTTAACTACTCTAGTCGCGGAAAATGGTTTAAACATTAGATGTATGCGAGATGTCATGCAAGCTTTCTCTTTAAAGCTGTGGTGGAAGTTGGGTGATTAAAAAGGGATTTGGGTGCATTTTATTGGCTCCTTATCAAACACGGGAAAGCAAAAAACAACCTACACCAGAATTCAGCGAGTAAATCAGCTTGCGATGCTCAGAACAAAAATTGAAATTAGAGATGGATCTTCCTCCTTTTGGTTCGACAGATGGACTTCCGCCTCTACAATCTGGAATGATGAAATTTTGCCTCCAGCATCAATCCTAACGGTTCGTGAGTTTTTTCACTCCAAATCTTTTTTCTTGCAGGTTTTTGATGGACTATTGGCGCCTGAAATAGCCTCTAAGTTGTGTGAAATGGATCCTTTCTTCACTGCTGATAGGAATAGACTCGTGTGGACACCAACACCAGAGAAGTGTTTCCTCCCTTAAACAATTTTTCGAATAAAATTATTCCATTGGAAGTTTCGTTTTTTGTATGGAGACTTTATAATCATTTGCTCCCTTTTCCAAAAATTTTGAGGAAGGTGAATTTCATGGTTTATCCATCTAAATGTCTGTTTTGCCAAAATGCGGAGGAAAGTATTGATCATATCTTTTATGGTTGTTTGCAAATAGCTGTGGTATGGCATCATTTTGCTGCAAAGTTAGGGGTCTATTCTTATAACCATGTGGGATGGTGGAGCTTGGTACAATCATGGCACTCTGTTGGCAATTTCACCACTGTGAAAAAATCAATTATAATGGTGACACCTTTGTTTTTACTATGGGAAGTATGGAAACTTCGGAATAAAATGCTTTATGAAGGTACTTCTTTTTCCCTTGTTTTTTTGGTTAAGAATATTTATGCTAATCTTTCCATTTTGTTGAGTGTGCATAAGCTTCAAGCAAGGTCTCTTATGGAACATAAAGAAATGGAGGAACTTTTCAATGTAAAAGTGCAAAAGCCGCGGAAAAAGAGGATCCAAATGGTCAAATTGAAGCCGCCTGATCCAGGAGAGTATGTGCTAAACGCAGATGGGTCTGCATTGGGACAGTCAGGAGAAAAAGGTAGGGGATATGCTCTGAGGGATGATCGCCGAATTATTATTGCAGCTGAAAGAAAATATATAGGCATCGCAACATGCCTGGAAGCGGAACTTGTAGGAATATATCATGGCCTAAAATATTGTACAGAAAAACGACTGAGACGTGTTGAAGTGCAAACAGACAACAACATCATCACACTGAGCCGTCAAAAAGGAACGAATTTCCCATGGAAATACTATCATGTTTTCCAAAAGATAAAGGAAATGTCGACTCTCTCAAATTCAAGAATTACTCATATCTTTCGAGAGGCCAATAGTGTTGCAGATGATTTTGCTAAGTAGGCTTCTGAAGGAATCACAATGAAATATGATTGTTCATCACCTATTCCAAGCTCCGTAAGAGGGAAAGCTTGCTTAGACAAGCAATCTATCCCTTATCTTAGAATTAGATAGCCTTCTAAGTATTACTAGTCATCTTAGAATATGACAGGATTCCTTTATTGTAAAATGCTTAGGGTTAGATTATACTCTGCCCTTGGCTCTTTTTTCTTTTTAGTGGAATGAAATCTAGGGAGGAGTGACTCTAGGGAACTAGATGGTATAGGTGTCCATCCCTTGGGTATAACCCTTGGGTGCATTTATACTATTTAGCACTGACTGACACCAAAACTATCTCCTGGGTAGATCTCTTGAGTATTTCTGGTGTTAGCTGGAACCTGAACATAGCTCCATCCTCTTTTAATATAAAAAAAAAACTTTCAAGTATAGGGTTGAGGCTTTGAAAGAGTTCAAAGTATAAAAGGAAGATAGAATTTTTTATGAAGGTTTAATAATATTATGATATGATCATGATATTCTTTACCTTGATCAAACAAAATGTTATCTAAGCAAGCTATACAAGCTATCGAAGTGTAGAATTGTATAAAGTATTTTCAAATATATTAGATATGTTTGATAAACAGCCTTAAGTTATGCAATTTGTTATCTCCCATAATGAATGTTTTAATACAAAGTTGATTACAGACCATATAAGATACGAGTCAGATAGGTCAATCAAATTTACGTGAAAAGTTTCGGTGACCATTTTCTATGTTAAAATTTGATTAGTCCTTACTAGTTTGTAGAGTATCCAAAAAGAGTTTGGTTACTTATTTTATTTTATTATTCTTGCGAGACTTTATTTTCTCATTGTACACTATCTTTAAGAAATGAAGTGTTTATTTCAAAAAGGTTAGTGGGAGTAATAAAATGCTGTGAAGGTGTTCATAACCACAAAATGGTAAGTTCAACTTATAGAATATTA